GATAGATAGATAGATAGATAGATAGATAGATAGATAGATAGATAGATTTACAAGACTCTATTTTTACTGTCTGTGGAGGACACTGAACAGTCTGATGTCTTGAGGGACAGAGGACTTCCTGAATCTGTCCATGGAGCAGGGCTGGGACAGCATCTACTGCTGAAGGAGCTCCTCTGCTTCATGATGGCACCGTGCAGAGGATGATCAGCATTGTCCATGATGGATAGAAGCTTACTGAGGACCCTGTTCTCTGCCACTGATATGAGTACACCTATGGACACACCCCACCCCCAACCCCCACCCCCGCTCGAACATGTTTTTTGCTACCTAGCACAGAAGTCCAATAACAGAACACCAATCAGGTTCAAATCAGAAAGGAGGCTCCTCCCATCTCTCGTCTAAAAGTGACTTCATCATTGCTCACCAGAGCATTGAAGTAAGTCAGGAGAACAACAGAACCCCCCTCCTTTTCAGGACACCATCCAGAGACTGTGGTTCAGTGCGTGGACACAAACAGCTCTGGACCACAGAGAGGTAACCATCTTGTTCTCCAGCGAGAACTCCAACCCCGAGGCGCTCAGCTGGGGTGGGGGGTTGAGTATCCCCACACCTGTCCGTCACCTCTCTCTCTCTAAGCAGCTACAGAGCAGGAAAGAGTCCAGCCTCACTCCAGGTGTTGGGTTCAGAGCCCCAGATGTGTGCAGAGATGAGCCCAACTATATTTAGCTGCTGTCGCTCAACCTCATGTACAAGCTCTGGCTTCTTACCCACCAGTGAAGTGATGGTCCACATGCCAAGACCCAGTTTCTGTCACAAGGAATCTGTGCCCAGGGCCCTGCCCTCGCCCGCCACCTAGCTTGCACTGCACTTGATCTTGACAGCTCTGCGTGCAGGTGACGTGCACTCGGGGAGATGGCTGCTCGTAGTTTTCTTAGGCTTCGCCGGGCCGCTCTGCAACGAGCTGCGGCTCAATATCTGTCAGCGTGACAGAGTTACAGCCATTCCTGTCATAACTAGGGTTGTTTAGCTGTTCCTCCAATGTGACGTAACTCATACTTACAGAGAAACACATTTACATTTATGAACTGTTCGATTTTGATTTGATGAATTTAAATCAACAAAATAAACATTTACTCACATGAGCTTTCTTTCCATAGTAAGGAAAAAACATCTTGTCCAGACGACCTTCAGACGGGAAGTAGTTCATGTGTAATGGAGTGTCTCTCTAAAAGACAGCAGAGGGAAAACGCATTTAATTTTATATTCACATAAAAAAAATCAACAAACCTTTGATCTATTGCTGCTCTCCTTTCAAAACAATAGATAGTTGCAAATATTATTTACTAATATGAAAACCCCCACACTAATGTAGCTGCATAGCAAAGCACATTAAATCCCATTAATAACAATAATACTTGTTTAGCTCACCCCTCCCCCCCCCACACTTCCCTGCTCTGTCCCCCATTTATTGCTTTTTATTCTCTCTTAGTTAATGTTTGTTCTGCTTATAATGGTCGAGCAAAATGTTTTTCCTCTTCCATCACTTCATATATCATAACTGTGTTCAGCCTAAAGCACATTTGTCAAACTAAAGGCCTGCAGGACAAATCTGGCCCTTGTTTACATTTTATTTGGCCGCCAAGATAATATTTTAAATGTGGCTCTTAGATTGAATTAGAATAAAAATGAGATAAAATAAAAATCTTAAGTGTAGCTCTTAGTTATCACATCAGCTGTAAGGTCCCTGATGGTTTTTGTTTTTTCATTGCAAATACAGAATACAAGTTAACTCCATGCATTAAACATTTCCTTCATATAATTACTTAAATGAGAAGAAACGTGTTTAAAAAAACACAATTAATATGTCCTATGTTACAAAATAACTGTCTTAAAGTTTTGTTTTGTAAATGTGGACAAGTAGGTCAAATTGCATTTTCTATTTTTGTACTTGATGGTGTGTGAAAGTATTATGTGATGATAAGAGTATTTAAATATACAATAGTATCAGTAGACCTTGGTATCAGTTCTCTGTGCTTGTAGTTAATCTCATTAATATGTTCTCTCTCTTTAAATGATTCAGGTTTATGAAGGCTTCAGGTTATATGGTGCAGAGGATATTTTGTGATAAAAGTACCATAGAATGAAGTCAAAATGAACTCGTAGTACTCAGTATGTAAAAAAGTAAGGGTAATGTAATTTTCAAGAATGATCTCAGATAAAGTTCAGCTTAAAGGCTGGTTGTCTGTGTTCTACCTTTATTATATACAGATTTTATGTTTTATTTATCCTATGAACTAAAAATGCACTACAACTGTCTGGAAAATGCCCCCAGACCCCCCAGGACTGCTTCAGTCCACAGGCACCTGATCATTTATGTAGACGTCCTTCTTTGCCATCAGCAAATGTTGGCAGGCCTGGTCTGACATTCTGTTTCAAATTCAGTATATTATTGTTAACTGTTTTAACTAGAGGCAGCACGGTGGATCAGTTGGTAGAGCTGCCGTCTCTCAGTAAGTAGGCCGTCCCGGTTCAAATCCTGGCCTGGGGACTTTTCTGGGTGGAGTTTGCATGTTCTCTCCGTGCTGCGTGGGTTTTCTCCGGGTGCTCCGGTTTCTTCCCACATACCCAAAACATGCATGTTAGACTGATTAATAACTTTAAATTGTCCCTAGATAAGAGAGACAGTGAATGGTTGTTTGTCTCGTTTGTCTCTAAAGCCCTGCTCACACGGGATTAGTTTACCTAGGGACCACATGCTATTTGTAATAATTGCAGAGATTGTCTGTGTTGTTAATCCCGTGCGAATCGGCCATGTCAGTAATTTGTAAAGTCAAAATTCCCCCACAATTTACCTACTATATTTTGCTGCACTCTGAGGTCCTGTGATAATACTAATCCAATGTGAATAGGCATCTCTGTGATTTGGACAGAAATGGGCGGGGTCTGATACGTAACTAGATGTTTGTTTTTTTGGTTTAAGCAAAATCCATCCATCCATTATCTTTACCCGCTTCTTCCATTTTGGGTCCTGAGGGTCACTGGTGACCATGTCTAGCAATCACTGCGCGAGGAGCGGGGGACACCCTAGACAGGTCGCAAGTCCATCACAGGGACACATAGAGACAAACGAGACAAACAACCAGACAAACAACCACTCTCTCTCTCACCTAGGGCCAATTTAGAGTCACCAGTCAGTCTAACATGCATGTTTTTGGTCTGTGGGAGGAAACCGAAGTACCCAGAGAAAAGCCACGCATGCATGGAGAGAACATGCAAACTCCACCCAGAAAGGCCCCCGGACCGGGATTTGAACCGGGGACCTGCTCGCTGAGAGGCAGCAGCTCTACCAGTTGCATCACCGTGCTGCCACTTAAGCAAAATCATTTGGAAAAATATAGAACAAGGCTATTTTAAATGAACACGCTGCTCGCTTCAGGTTTTGTAGATGCTGCTACTTTCTTCACCGCAGATGACAGCAGGTGCAGAGACACGAACAGGATCACCTGACCCATCCATCCATCCATCCATCCATCCATTATATTTACCCGCTTCTTCCTTTTCTTCCTTTTTTTTAAATAATTTCCCTTTGGGATTGATTAATAAAGTATTTTTGAATTTGAATTTTCGGGCTGCGGGAGTCGCTGGTGCCCATGTCCAGTATCACTTGGACAGGTATGGGTCCATTTCAACCGGCAAGTGAACGGATGCATGCGGCCGGTGACAGGTTTTCCATCTGAGCTTCACGTGGCTTTTTTGACCTCTTAAACCGGCCGGTCGGACCTGCTTCCTCCTCAACAAGTAGATTAACACAATTTTATATTGTGCATTATTTAGTTTTCTTTGAGCTCATTCGTAAAACCACATCAAAGCCTGAGACCGGCCCGCACATTAGGTACATTATTATGGACCGGCCCATTCGTGACAATGCTGCGTGTTAACATCATATCTGGAAGATGTCTGTATATTTCAGCTAAATCTCAGACTTTGGTTATCCCGTGCGAATGTGCCACATAAAAAGCAGACGTTGGGGAGTAATTTATTTATTATGCGTTGTCCCTAGGTAAAACAAATCCCATGCGAATAGGACTTATGTGTCTCTGTGATGGACTGGAGACCTGTCCAGGGTGTCCCCCGCCTATCGCACAGTGATAGCTGGACATGGGCACCAGTGACTCCCGCGACACGAAACCGAAGAAGCGGGTAAAGATAATGGATGGATGGATGGATGGATTGATGGATGGATGGATGGATGGATGGATGGATGTTTTAACTAGACAACCTGGTTTCTAAAATATACTGTATATAAAGCTGTACGGCTTCGTATGTGAATGTATGTAAATTGGCACTGAGATTTAGAGAGTTGCACAGGGAGCTCCACCTAAAATCTTGCCTATGGCACCAAATTGGCTACTGCCACTGTTACAACTCACAACACCGACTAGAGTTCTTCTTGTGTTGTGGGATACCAGCCAGGACTGACCTTGGATGTACAGTTGATGTAGGGTTCTCCTTGTGGTTTCAGTCCAATAACCTGCAGACAAAAACACCCAACGTGGCCTCAGATTAGCGTTCTAAATACCAGCTGAAGTTTCATCCTGATAAAACTTTAGATACCCAAACCAAATGTCTTCTTGAGAAACGCTTGATGGTCAGACAAGACAACAATCAAGCTGTTGGCAAGACTGTTTTGAGGTGTCAAGCTAAAGTTTTAAACTTAAAAGCATTGTAACAAATATCAAGCATGGTGGTGGTAGCATCATACTATGGCACAAAGTGAATGGAATAATGA